CGTTCGCAGCCATTGATCTTCTCCCTCCTATCCTATCTCTTTATTTCCGCATTATCAGACTTTGGATATACCATGTATTAGGATGATATTTTGTTTTCTAGAGGCTCAGATTCGTGACACCGGGTCCTAGTGAGATTATATTGTGTATTTTGTTAAAATCTTCAGTACTTTAATCTTGCTTAATTGATATTTCTTTCCGCTATTTTTGATAAATTGGGTTAAGTATTGAATAATGGTTGGGCTTGCCTCGTAGTGTGCTGGGCGCCATCACAACCGGAATTTGGGTCGTGACAGCACATTATCTATGGACATCCAAAGGGGAGTGTTATGATAAATATCACATTATGTTGGATGTCTACTCTTCTTCCATGATCTTCATCTCAAATGTTTAATGACATATTCGATGACATATTTTGTATGTTCAATGATATATTCCATGACATATTTTCTTCACTTTTATGCCTATATAAAGGCCTTGTAATAGATAGGAAAATACACACAATTGAAGAAGAAATAAGAATCTCTCTTCCTCTCTTTCTCTCTATATCTCTTAGTTTGTTTTTGCTTGTTCTATATTGTTATTTTGGATTATATTTTATAGCAGTATAATAATTCATGACTAATTTTTCTAGACATTACATTAGGGACAACACCCCACCCCTTTAATATTACTACCCTCCTACAGTCCTACTCCATGCAACATCATATTTCATAACACGAAAAAGGACTGTCTGGTGCATGAGTATCCCGAGTTAACGCAAGGTTTGGGGAAGAATTTCACCCTAGAAAAGTATGATGTAGATAGTTTACTTCAATACAAGTATCAGTAGATAATTTCATACTCTAATCCAAGGGCAGCTCCATAAAATTAATGGCTAAAGCTTGGGGCGTATCTAGGGGTGTACATGGACCGGGTTGGTTCGATTTTTATCAAAACCAAACCAAACAGACTATATCGGTTTGGATTGGTTCGGTTTTGTCGGGTTTTTCGGGTCTTTTTGTTACATGAATATTATTTCAAGCTTACTTTGTTAAAATTATAGATAAAGTTCTAATAAGTGAATATATATGTTTAGTAAATATGGAAAAAATGAACAAACATATGATCTATTAAAATATTCTAATGGGAGAATTCTTTTAGTAACACATGATAGTTATTTTCTTAGTCGTCTAATAATAATATTTCGTTAATTTATGCTTTTAAGGTTAATACATGAGAGGATCCCAAATATTTCTACATTTTCTAAAGAAAATTCACTATAAAGTCTTAAAAATATAAATAAAATTTATATATTTATATGTCGGTTTGGTTCGAATTTTTTTACTCAATACCAAACCAAGTCAAACCAAACCTACTCGGGTTTTTAAATTGGTTTGGTTTTTCGGTTTGGTGCAATTTTTTGGTTCGGTTTGAACACCCCTAGGCGTATCTATGTTACAAAATGTTGGGGGCATTTGAATCTATACCTGCTTTTTGGGTCACGTTTTAACTTGTGCCCGCTTTGCAAAAAAAATTGCAAGTGTACCCACTTTTTCGCGTAACTTCAGCATACAAGACTGAAGTAGCAAAGACAATCACGCAAAACTTCAGCATTCTAGTAGACGGGACTGAAGTGTGCTGAAGTTTTTGTTTTGTAACTGACGAACTTCAGCTCTAGAGCTAAAGTTTTTGTTTGTAACTGGCAAACTTCAGCCTTCTTAGAGTTGAACTTCAGCCTACTACATTGTAAATGCTCCATATATCTTTTTAACGAAGATATTGTGGTGGGATATAATCACTGGAAGATAAATGAACTTCTTCCAACATCCAGTTTAATTTTAAATATAAACTACCACTTCGTCAAATTATCACACTAATATGCCATGTTTACGTATTTGAGATGTACTTTGAACAATTGATAATATGCTATCGCTTTTTATTTTCTTAATAATGATGTTACCCAGATGCATATCTAGGTGGTGTTGTATTAGTAAAAACGAACAGAGGAGCCTTCTTAGAGTTGAACTTCAGCCTACTACATTGTGAATGCTCCATATATCTTTTTTACGAAGTTATTGTGGTGGGAATGATCACAGGAAGATAAATGAGGGCGGATATAACTTTGAGGAGGAGAAGGAGGAAGAGAAAGGGGACTGAAGTTGTTTAAAAGTGAGTACAAGTTAAAACTTAAAAAAAAAATGGGTATAGGTTAAAGGGGGGCGACCAAATAGGGCGCCCTGTGCAATTTTTACAAAATATTGGGCACATGGACCCATCCTCTTGCCATGTAAAAGCAGATTTTATGTACAAATTTTTAATAGTTTAGCCATATAGAGTAGATAGCACCCATGCTCAAATTTTGGCACTGGTGCCTCCGGTCGAGACCCCATAGACATACATTAATATAATACCACGTATTTAGCTTGTACTTTGTAGCTCTTTTATTTGTTTTAGTTCTATTTTTTTCCTTCTTATCATTATTTCCTTTTTTTTTCTCCTTCTCCAAGTCTTCACGTAAACAACAACTTAAAGAGTCAGAGATTAAACTACTTATTACTTCCATTGAGATTTGTCTTATCTTGAACCACTATAAATTTATTTAAGATAAACATTATACAATGATTGTCAGATTATAATTGATAATATTAATGATAAACACGGATTTATAGTAGCAAGATTCACTACAATATTTTAGGCCTTTAATCACCTCAGAAAAGTGTGGCCAAAACTGTCAAAAGTGTGGCCTTTAATAAAAGGCCATACTTTTGAACTAAGACAACACTTTTTAGGAGTGTTCTATACAAGCGTAACCTTTGCTCTAAGGCAACACTTTTCAGTGACCAAAGGCCACGCTTTGTGCACACCCCTTATGGCAACTCTTTTCCACCTTATAGTCACACTTTTGAAGTGTGGTCTTTGTTAACATTGCCTTTCTAACTTTACAGGCCGCACCTTTGCTAGCACCCTATGGGCGCACTATTCAAGAGTGGCCATTTTGTCAAGAATGTAAAACATATATTTTATTTACGAACATATAGAATATTATTAAATATTTTCAAGTAATTGTTGAAGTATGAAGATCTCTCATACTAATAAAATTAAATAAATAAGAAAAAAATTTCAAATTTATTACAATGAACCTCGAAAAACAAACATTTCGTATACTACATTAACTAACAAAGCCAAATATTTCAATGTGCATTCTAGCAATATGGTTTACAAAACTGAACATATTCATTTAGTATCATGGTTAATAAACATCACAATTTTTCAATTGTCTTGATCAATAACTTTAAACATATGAAATCGACTTCTCGCCACCATTTTCAGAACATCGCCAAAAAATTCCTACATATATTCAAAGTGAACCTAAATATTAGATTGAAACCAATAGCATGCTAGTGCACTCAATTGATGAAATCTCGCCTATATTTTTTTATATAAATTGAATGATAATGAAAATCATCAACTAGCTTGCTAGCGGAAGGAAAAAATAGCAAAATTGCAGTTAATTTAATCACAGATGTACATCATTTGTAACCAACACCTTTGCATCAATACAAACTATTGTGAGACGTGTGCACTTAGTTTTCAATGAAAATAATAAAAAGATAAGTTTCGGAAAGATGCAATAAGTATGAAAATAGTAAGAAACAATGTAATATGGTAAGATAATGGTACAACACCTGGCAAGTAGCCTGACCAATGCTGAAGCATATGATCCAATATGAATGACAATTGAAAAATTAAAGCTTCTCTTTTACTACAGTAACAACTTATATAGTCAATCTTCTTGTTCATTTTTATGTGGAACTGGAAAGAACTCAGTGCAAGATCATAATATTGATGCATCAATGTGTATTCCAACAACATAAAAAAGCAAGTAGAGAAATAACTTTTGATATTCTTAGGTACATTATGTCAAATACTCGCTTTTCAATATATTGCAAGCTTATCATGCATTGACTGCCAAAGAAAGCAGCATTGGGAATTCAAATTCAAAAAACTAGATCTGTTTAATTTCTTCGGTACGAAATGCATATGATATGATTTTAGAATAATTTAAATTAGGTATCTTAACAAATAATGTCTTACCTAAGTTTCTAAACAACAAAAGTATGTTGCTTTAAGTGAATGAAAAAGTGTCAGATTTGTCCGAATACCTGTGTCAATCTCACTCCTTCCCTGGAGACAAAAGAAAGAATACAGATCATCAAGATTATATCAATTTTTTTTTGAAGTTGCTCCTAATAAGACATCAAGATCTAGTAAGAAGAGATGTGATATAATAAAATAATCAAAAATAGTTTACTATCTTACCAATCTGGATTCAGTACATATGATGGTTCAGACCCAATATAAATAATAAGAGATGTGCACATCTCATTCAACTCTGCTATCAGATTATCAAAAAACAACCAACTATAAAGAACTACTTCAATAAACAAAATGTATATTTTCTAAGGCGCATCAATTCCAAAGATAGCAAACTATCTTTTAAAGATATACTAGCTACTCTAGGAACTGAAATAAATAGAGAAGATGAATAAATAGCAGAGAAAGAGAACTTCTGATCCAGAAAGATATCCAAAATTAATAAAATGAATTTGATATCTTAATGAATCTAGAGGTCATTGTTGAGATATAAAATATGAACACAACCCCTAGCTATTCTAAACATGTATATGTATATGATGCACGTGGTGCTTCTATTTACTAGCGAGGTACTTTAAAAATACCAAGTGAATCTGGCGGGCATTTGGACAGTTTGATTCTTTAACAATACTACTATTTATGAGCAAATAGAAAAATTGACATTATTGTCACTAAAATCTGAAAATTTCAAACCTGAACCAGCTACATAAAGACGTTGCTTTTCAAATTTGAACCTTCGCAATAGATATTTTAAGACGCAATCTAGACTAATGAAAGTTTTAGAATAACTAATGATATTGTCCTGCCCCTCACTCAATCCTTAGATGCTATAAGAGTTCCTTTTAATTCCTTGTCAATAAGAATTCAGTTAACGAATTATCTAAATTAAGATTATTGTATGGAGATAAGTTATCGATTAAATTGCAAGTATGTTACCTATAGGAGTTCAGTTAACCAATGAAAACATAAGCCTCAAAACTAAACTACCATTTCTCTTTCTCGTTTTCAAATTTTCTATGATTTTGCCTAAGCATATTACTAACACCAGTAAAATGTCATTAATTCATCAAATAGTTGAACATAATACATATCTTAAAGCTTGAATAATTTATTGCACGTCGCTAACCAACAGAGTCATCAACAACAACAACAACAACGACCCAGTATAATCCCACAAGTGGGGTCTGGGGAGGGTAATATGTACGCAGACCTTACCCCTACCCCGAAGGGTAGAGAGGCTGTTTCCAGGAGACACTCGGCTCAAACAGAGTCATCATAGATGATATATTCCCCAATTTTCCACATCTAGTTAACGAGAAACTTTAGAGTCTATCCACCATTGGAACAAAATGGAGCTAGTTAAACATGATAAAACACAACAGGTCTTTGACCAAAATTTCAAATTGAGCAACTAAAATTAACTAGAAGAACTTCATTTTTATAGATCCATACACAACAATAACAAAAAATTCAGTGTAATCCCAAAAATAGAGGTCCAGAGAACGCATCCTTATAAAAAGAAGTTCCAAATTTTATAAATTAGCATTCTCTTTCTGTCAAGAAATAATTTTTTTTCTTTCTTTGCTTCGGAACATTGTTGGCATAGCTTATAGTATCATATAATGCATACATAAATAGGCAAAAATTGACCCGATATTGAAAAACCTACTATACCTGAGCAGAGACAAAAAGGCTAGAGAGTGATTTCGTACGTTCCTAAGATTAAAGGCTAAAAAAAGTAAGAAAATCACAGAAAAAACTCAAATAACTCATTTGAAGCAAAGCAAAACAGGGCTAGGAAGAACTCACCATCACCGCAGCTTACTGAACAACAAACTTCAATGCTTGATTTGTGCGCTTCGGTTTTAAGCCCTAACTCTTTGATGGAGCCCTAACTCTAATAATTTTATCAACGAGCTATCTTTAATTGACAGATTAATTTGGGTTTGTCAATTTTTAATGTGCAACCACATTTCAAACAATGGTAGTAAGCCCTAATCCTTCAAGTGAGAAATTTGCTGATAGATCAATTTGGGATTCCAACGGACGTATGTCCCATGATTTGGCAGCACTTAAGCGGTGTGCCCTTTCTATTAAAAGAGAACGTTTTAGAAGTGTTGCTTAGTAACTGTTGCCAAAAGCCCGTAATAAATGCCACACAGATAAAAGCGTGCCCATAGATACCTTTAGCAACGCTTTCAGGGGTTGTTTAAAATAAGTGTGGCCTTAGACCGAATTTGTTGTAGTGATTATAATGTGCAAAATTATTAATATGTCATAAAACACTAAAAATATATACATTACTTGATATTATGACGAGTATCGTGGTGCACCCATTATCTTAAAAGTCTGGATTCGCCTCTGCCTAAAGCCAAATTTTAATAAGAGGCTGTATACTTTTTTTATTAGTACGTATACACACATATATGCAAAAAAAATTAATCTTGCCATTTTTTTCATACTTGTTGTTTATACTATATATTCTTAAATGACATAAAGTCTATAACTTCACATAGTAACTTGTTGTTTAACTTCACAAGGGCGGCTCCATAAAATTATTGGCCTAAAGACAAATTTTAATAAGAGGCTTTACACTTTTTTTATTAGTACATATATACACATATATGAAAAAAGATTAATGTCATACCCCTTTTTTTTTTACCCAACCTCACTTAATCCTCTTAAAATAATAAAAAGATTAGTAAAGCTCAAAAGGGGTTTTAATTAAAAAAGTGACAAAATTGTGTTCAAAAGGAAATAACTCAGAGTCGCCACCTGACTTTGATTTCGGTGTGCCAGGTCACCGTTTTTAAAATGATTTTTCCTTTTAAAACGTTTCAGACTCTAAAACCAAGTCTGCACCAGAGACTCGGGTAAGGGGGTTCATTTGACTCGGGGAGAAGGTGTTAGGCACTCCCCAAGTCCCGTAACTAGTACGGTTGCGTAATCGATCTAGTTGGCTTTAAAAACATTCAAATTGAGGTACAAAACACAGAAAGGGAGAATAAACACACAAGAGGTTCGAGGTCATCCCCACCTAAATAAAAGAAAAATAAAAATAAAAATAAAGTGAAAGTACTACAAGTTTCTACTTTTGGCCTCCATTTACAAAATACTTCGGGGCATTCCCCGGATAAAAATATATACAAATCCTTCGGGGCATTCCCCGGATAAATTTAACTAAGGGGAATGATCTCTTGCCTCAAAATTAACAAAATTCCTAAAGTTTGCCTACCCAAGTGTATTCGGTTGTCGGCCTAAAACATGCTCCTAGCAGACCATATAGCAAAATAAACAAATGAATAAAAGAAAATTTTAAATCATGCTCATTTTCTAATCTATTGATTTTACTTGTTAGACCGAGCCCAATCTTAAAGCATGCCAACAAATTTAACTACTAGCGAGCTCGGCCTTATCTCGATTCCCCGGCCCAACAATCATTCAAGATGTCTAACAAAGCATCAAGAGCACAAAGAATACGAGAAGAAATAAAGCGAAATGAGGGATCAAAATGTTAGACCCCATATTTTTTTCTTTTTCTATTACGTAATATACGTAACGTGGCGTGGTTATATTAGGTATATATGATTGGGTGTAGCACATTGGGTGAATAAAAATGAAAATGTGTGGCAATATCAAGGAACTAAACTAAAGCTTTCGGTCAAAGGAATCCCTTAAACAAAGGTTCGTGGTTAAAGAAATGGCTCGGGTAGCACCCCGCGCGTTCGGAAGGTTTAAGTTAACTTGCACCTGTGGGATAAGACTATGAGTCTCTAACATGATAATAATAGTGTGTTATGAGGTATTATAATATCACACGGGTCACATGTTAAGTTTTGGAGTCAAGCAAGTTGTGAAATAGAGGTCGGCAAAGGTTATCGTAAATTTCTCTAATAAATTTTCTAAACTTTGGGTCAAATGTATCAGATCATTTCTCCCAATATATAATGAGTTATGGGACCCACAACTTATCAAATAGAAGTTCTACGAGTCTAGTTTGCAATCAAAAAAACCTCACATCAAACGGACATTGTAGTAAAGAGTTATGACTGTTTTACATTGGACTGCCCAGGCTGAAACTGGGTCGCGAACCGGGTCGGGTCAAACAAGTAGCATAAGTCGGAAAATTCGACTTGTAAGACCCCAAAACATTTTATTTTCGTTCCAAAACAGTGAGGGAGCTGAAGAAAGGGTTCCATGGTGTTCTTGAATGATTAAGGTACGTTTTTAACGATTTCTACCATTAAAGTTTGTCCCCGTTCCTAGAAACTCAATCTCTACGCTTTGCAATCGTTTCCCCCTTCTATTAGTTATGTTTGGAGCTATTTTTAAAAGATAGGAATTTGTTGTTCTTGCTGGTTCTTCAGGCTTTATACTTGATTTTCCAAGGTAATCATCTTGGGACTCTTTTATGATCGTTTTTACAAAGTTCTACGGACGTTTCGTCAAGTTAGGGCCATATGGCAAATCTGCCGATTTAAACTCAATTATGGATTGTTTATAAGTGCGTATAAGCTGCATATATATAATGTTTTCGAAGCTTAGGATGTAAGGAACAACTTTTGTGAAGGAACTACAGGCATTCGGACGTTCGTTGGAAAGGTATGTTAAGGCTAAGCTTTGTCCTTCCTTTTTGCACGAATTCTAGGAAATTCCTAAAACGTCAAATGTGATATTTTACTATTCTATTGCTAGAAAGACCTTCTGTGAAAGGCATTGGAATTGTAGCTGAAGTATATTTTCATGATGCTATTAGGTTGATATTCCACTCATTCGGTTAAATAGGGTATTCGACATCTATATATGTCATTTTGTCGGCTTTCTTAACTATATGTCTATATATATGAATTCTTATTCGTCTTTGGGTTGTGTGACAAAAAATAAAGGCATGTAGCATTTGCGATCAGTCCTTCTTCCTTGCTAAAGTATATTTTTTTAAAATCTCTAAAGTGATACATCGATTTTCAAAAAATCTCAAATATAAACTTTATGTTTAAACTATTAAAACACTTAATTTTTGATATACTTTCTTTTACTAGTTATCAAGAAATCAGGTATAAGGACTAAGTAAGCACCTTAAGCTTTTTATCAACCTCTTCAGAGTTAAGTTATATTTCTAGAAGTCGAGTTAAGTTTTCAAGCTTATTCAAAAGAAAGAAAACATATGAGGTTCCACGAGACAATTGTACGCGATACGAAGATGACTATGAGATTATGAGAATAAGAGTACCTATGAGCCAAGATTGGCTAAGTTCTTGTTATGGCCTATTATGTGCATTCAAAGTTCATATCATACCTGGTATATTATGCATGGACTTCGAGCTATAATCGGAGGTAAGGGGCCTATTTGCTCGAAAAGCTATATATATTGTACAGATGGCCACAGGTTGGCAATATGATATCGGTTAGCTACGGGAAGAGACCGCCATTGCTAGCATTTGGTTGGGTATGTCATGCATTTGCATCAATATATATGTATTCACGACATACGCTTACACGAGCATACCATGCATAATTGATTACTATGAGGTCGGATGTCGGTCATGGAGG